GCGTCTTTACACTATGTTTGTATAACGCTAATGACGTCACGTCAAAATAATATGCACGGCCGTGCAATACCATATTTACGGAGTCGCAAAATCGGCACGGGTGTGTGATAAATATATATATGATAATGTTTTATCGGATTTATGTAAAGAACTCATGAACATTTATTATTTATGAAAAGAGTGCTATAGAAATGTGGTATATAATAATAATAATAATAATAATAATAATAATAATAATAATAATAATAATAATAATAATAATAATAATAATAATAAAAATAATCTCAAAAAGGTGTTAGAGGTATCAACTTGAAACTTATTAGGTGGATAGATCTCATTGAGGAGGAGTGCAGCACACAAGACATTTAACCTACCGTGCATTATTTTTCAGTTATTGCCCTTTGTTATTTTTCATACTTAATTTTGTCCAGAGCATAACTACAAAGGCCTTTGAGATATTAACATGAACCTTCATAGGTGGATACATCTCACTCGAGAGGTATGCAGTACACAAGAATGATAATTATTCTACTCTACTACATATAAACATGGCTCTTAATTGTAACAAGTTACATGATTATGATATTTTAAAACCTTCTGAACAAGTTAACATGTCAATTCAAAACAATGCTATTTGGAGATACCTTATCAATATATTTAACTGGGTTTTTTTTTGTGTGGGGGTTGTCTTTTTTGTTTTTTTTTGTTTTTCGCCGTGACAATCATATTGCTGCATTTCCCAGCAATTGTTTACTTGTTATTATTATTCCTCCACCAATTAAGCTGGACAAAAATCGGCGAAAAATTCTCGGCGGGACGCTCTATGATGGCCCGACTTGAGTGTACGGTCGCCCATATGGGCTTTCCGGCGGCAACCTTTAATAAACGCATTAACAAAACAATATACACACAGTAACAATATCAATCACTAAACATACAGGATCTATAAAAACATTGTTGAAAATACATATAAATCTGTTTGTCATGAAAAATGCTTTTAAAATCAATGAATGTACTAATTCCTTGAACAGAAAACTTCCATGGAAGAAAAATACAAATAATCAATAGCACGGACACGAAATACAAACAGTCTTTGAAATTACGGTAAATGAATAAACATATTATTAAGTAAATATAGCAGAAAAGATCGTTGTTTACAAAGTCCGGTTAATTTTTGATCATCCCTCGTAGTTGATTGTCCCCATAAAGTATCAAATAAATGAAAAACGTATATACTATACTTCATATTCGATAGCATTGATGCCAAGATAATCGTAGCATTAAATGCTTCCCAAAATCATTTTGAACTAAAATCTGACAAGTGGGTTAATTCAACCAATCGGATAACCTTTTTATACTAGGTTATTCTTTATAAACCATTCCATCGGCATCATAGAATTTCCGGGAAGATTAAAAATGACTTAAGGATTGGCAAGATCAGTATATAAGGGTTCAAAGAAGCCATAAACTCTGAGTACGTGTAATGCTTATAACGATGAAATTATTTGTTTCACATTAAAAGATTTGTAAAAATTTTCTTTCTGAATCTAAAAATTTGTGATTACTGTGTACATATATTTTTCTTACAAATTACTAAATCAATTATTTATTTGAACTCTTTCGTAAAACATAAAAGAAAAAAATCCATGTATTTGTAACAAGAAGTATCCTTTTTGTTTCGTTTATGTACGAAATCTACCTGTATCATTAATTTTCAGTTACACTCTCAGTAGCATATATTTATTACGCGTATAAATGTCTAGATATTTGACAGAAATTTTAAACAAGGTTGCCATATTCAATCTGAATGGTTAGACATAAAAGCAAAATCAAGGGAAAACGTGCCTCCAGATCTGACAGAAGTACGCTTAGGTGACAAATGAAGTATTAAAACGTTTATATACGGAGTGTTAATGACATTTGTAAGTTAATTTGGAGCTAAGAGTATTTCGTATGGCTTCGTCAGCGTTAAAATGTCAATGCTCGTATGATACATGTGAACTTGCTACTGCTGTTTTAGTTTAGGCAAATTCACAATTACAGAGTCAAATTTGATTTGTCATGCCTGAATATACATGTGTATTTTTTTCAATTTAAAAAAACTGAACTTTTTATAAGAAACTCGATAGAAATTGACTTTGATAATATAATTTATTTCAATTATGTAAAATGCTTATATAGAGCTTATCGTTTTTGAGGGAATCGACACAAATACTGACAAATGATCGTGATACTTTATAACTGTCATTATATAATTAAGTATAACAGTGCTAGTGTTGCCCCTTTAGCTCCGTTGTTTTTTCTTTATTTAGGACAAAAGTAATAAAGCTTTGAGGAAAGCAGTTAATTTAGATGAAAATATTAATTAAATTGTCTTGCAAGTTAGCGATATAATCATAATTCAACTAATAAAAAAACGTGGTTGTACCCTGTAAGAAGCAGCAAGTTGCCGCTTTGTTTTAAATAGTGTCCTCCACATAAGAAAACAGACACATTACGTTAAGAAGATTTATGAATTATAACACTGAATGTACTGGTAACCAGCTCAACATTTGAATTGCAATAACACAAGTGAGTACAAATGTACTCGTAAACAGTCAAATGCAGGGCGGTATTTAGTCCGTGTTTAAAAGCAGAGATGTTTCAAAAGCAGCCGAATAAAACAAGTCTCGTTTTGGAATGTTCATACGAAATGTTTTCATAAAAAGTAGCATACGCTTTTAAGAGATATACATGTATTGCAAAGTTTTTTATATGCTATTTTGATGGAACACATGCTATTTATATCAATTATATGCACAGTAAATATCCTAAAATAAACTGTAAGATTCTGAATTATCTCTAATTATCTCGAATTATTTCTGGAAAAGTTTCTCGTATTTAAATGATTACCTATTTGAAATGTCGCCACTTAATCAGTTAGTCGTCTGGTAAATATGCAAATTGCTGTTAATAATTAGCAATAATTAGACATTAATAGTGTTGCAAAACATATCATGTCGATTTGTAAATATGCGAACTATCAGATGGAAAAAAGTACATTTTTTTCATTACCATAATCAAAATTTCATTATAGACATCAGTATCAAATATTAAACTCGCATAATCAAGTGCATTAATTAATTATATGACATAATAGCATTACAGCAGTAATGTATGGTTAATTGAATTTTGTAGATGGAATCAGATAATTATTATTCTGTACGGCACGCGATGATAAAATAGCATTAAGCGATGTATTGCCCTGAAGGTGATTTGTATCCAATGTAAAGACGATTCTGATTAATCATGAACATATATGACAGTAGTCTAACCTTTAAGTACGAAAGACCGGTGGGGACATTTCAACTTCATGAATTCCCGATTTCAGCTTCATGAATTCTCGATTACAACTTCAAGAATTCACGATTTCAACTTCATGAAAATTTTCTTTATAACTAGTTTTATGTTGAAAATAATATTCAAAAAGACTTTAAACTTGACCGGTAGAAATATATACACATGTATAGGATCGTAATTTAATCAAACAATCGCTCATCAATGATGTTTATTCAAGTAATAGTGTGTCCTTAACATGTTATAAAGCAAATTTTCGGCAATGCATGATTTTTTCGTTCCATTCACTATAGAGTCAACATCGTTACACCGAAATCGATTATCATTGCCGATAAAAAAAGAGTATCAGGAATTTACTCTCCAATTTTGAACTTCAATCCTTTTTGATGGTTATCGTTTGCCAAAATCTTTGCTTAACATTTTTTATAATTAACCTACCATAAATACTTGTTGAGGCTTTACATTTCGTTTGCAACTGATATAATTACAAAATTGATACTTTTTAGTTTAAAAATATCTTTCTTATTTGTTTGTGTACTTTTTATTGACATTAAGAATTTGAAGCAATGTTTCAACAATCAGCCTTTCCAGTTAAACAACATATTTGTATTTGTCTATGAATGAAACAATAATGAATGTGAATTACTAGTTGAAATAATAGGTAACGGTAACAGTAACTATAGATTCAAAATTTCAGTTACCAGCTATAGTGGAATGTTTCATGTACATTCCTTGTATTGTCTGTAAAGTTTTGTCAGTTTTAAATCACTTAAATCACTAAGTTTGATATAATAATTGGAAACGTAAATCAATTGTCTGATGTATACCATAATGTTTAGATTAACAGAATATGTACGAGTATCAAGTATTGCAGATGATTTTCCAAAACTTTATTCACATATTTGAAAGCATTTAATCTGAAATATATACATCTATATATCTAGTTTATCAGATGCTATTCATTCAATCAATACAAACCAAGTTACGTAATTGATTTGAAAAATGAAGTGTGTAGTTGTGTGTAGAAAATGCCAACACACAGTTTACAATAGAAGACTAGTAAATAATCAAATAAGAGTACATAATCATTCCATTAAATGACTTACCAAAAATCAATTTTCAGATAGACCAAAAGCAGTGTTTTATGTCAAGGCATTAAATATGAATATATATTGGCTTTAAAATACTCGTTTGTCTTCATTTGTGATTCAGGTTCTGCGGAAATTACAGTACAAACATAAGATTTAATGTCAGCAGGAGTCTCACAATCTGGTGGCAAATGTAATAATGATTTCATAGCAACATCTTAACAATCTATTATTCTTTGTATTTATATTACGATGTTTTCATGGTAGCTCTTAATTTGTATGATTACTTAATTCATAAGAATATGGAATGTTGTTAGTAACGCATAAGGCAAAAACTTTTCCATTAAAACAATTTCACAACAAATTTTTTTCCGATTGATATTTTGTGCACACTTTTTATAAATATTATTTTTTCTTCAATAATAAATACAAGTTCTAAACAATATTTTGGAAAATTACTATTAATATAAGTTATTGAGCTTTGTTTTTTTAAATCTGGATTCTCATAGAAATTCTTTTACAACGTTATGTGCTGACGCAGATAAAGATTTGATGTTGGTCTTTTTTATTTTTCAGAGCGTCATTTTCCACGAGGATTCTCATCCAAACCACCCATGGTTCAAGCAATGTGTCACGTTTGGCTTCTTTCCGACTATATTCCATGAGAACGTTTACAACATGTTCACAATGATTGCAATGTATGGTTTACCTCTGATCATTATCACCATGTCATACTTGCTCATTTTACGAGAGATCTCAAAGAAAACACGGCAAAGTAAAGGTATGTGATTTACTGATAAGCATAACTGTTTTGTCTAAAAATGTTAAAAAAATATAAAATGCACATTAATGTACGTGTATTGTCCAGTAATGTTAGAAAATATCGTAAATTCATTTTAGTATATACTAGTTACACCAAACGTAATGCGCTTCAAAAAAGGCAATGCGGTGTGAATAGAAAATTGAACGTATCAGAATATTAAACATTTTCTTATGACAAACAAAATAAGAAAATCCTGAGAATGAATACTGAGATTGAGTATTTTATATCTACACTAACATTATCACCATGTCATACTTGCTCATTTTACGAGAGATCTCAAAGAAAACACGGCAAAGTAAAGGTATGTGATTTACTGATAAGCATAACTGTTTTATCTAAAAATGTTGAAAAAATATAAAATGCACATTAATGTACGTGTATTGTCCAGTAATGTTAGAAAATATCGTAAATTCATTTTAGTATATACTAGTTACACCAAACGTAATGCGCTTCAAAAAAGGCAATGCGGTGTGAATAGAAAATTGAACGTATCAGAATATTAAACATTTTCTTATGACAAACAAAATAAGAAAATCCTGAGAATGAATACTGAGATTGAGTATTTTATATCTACACTAACTTTGATATCAGCCCCATGTTGCTGAGGGAATGCCTTTAAAGGTTAATGCATCATACTTGTCGTAAAACCAATCAAGAAAAGAAAAACAAATACGTTGATAACAAGCCATTATTTTTTCTTGTGCAAATGATGTGTAAGTAATTTGCTTTTGCATTGTTCCCTTATAAACTAAAGTAGAATTTTTTTAAATGTCAATATTACATCACGTTATTGCTGTATGGTCAGTCTTATAGGGTTATCATTGAAGTGTTTATGTGTGAATCATTTAATATTCTAAGTTATCTAATACATATATGTACAATGTGTTTAAGCATCAAGAAGGTTAAATATTCCTGAAATATTACCGTCCCTTTATTTTGATTTTAAAGATAATTGTCATCTGCAACATAAGACACAGAAAAAGAATATTTGCATTTCAACATTTCTTTATACACTACAGTAACACACAAGTAACATTTTGACACACAGTGCTTTATTTGAAGTCTGCACATTTTATATATACTGTTTCAGAGGAAATGCAAGAAATGAATTCTTCAGGCGGACGACTACGGAGGTCAGCGGTAGGAAACATTGAGCGAGCCAGATCAAAAACGCTGAAAATGACTCTAGTAATTGGTAATATAATCCTGCGTATTTATGTGAAACAACTACTAATACTGGTTATATCTAAAATTAATGTCAATTATTAGATTGTCATGTTAATGCCGTTGAATTTGTGAATATACGAGTACATATTAATATTTAAAGTAAATCAGTTAATTATCCTTTAAATGTCAGGCGATACGTTCGAAGACGGTATGAATGCCTACACAAAAGAAAATAAGGCATATAATGGTTAACAGTATTATAATTGTATTATTTGAGTAAACATTATTTCATTACACTACGGTTTAAGAACATGTAACAAACTTATCAACCGAATAAAGTAGCACTGAATGTTAAAATATAGATAGAAATTGACCAATGAGTAAATTTTCGTTAGCTATAATAGGATAGCAAAAACAAAAAGGTTTTCAGAAGTAAAAATAAGCATTTCTGGGAAAAAGTGGACCTTAAATTGGACTAGCATACCATGCGTCACACTAATTGGCACAAACTCTTGGTTTATTTACTTATTTAAAATAATTATGTATAACCAACCTTTTATTAATAATTAAATTTTACTTATTGCTTTTTATATTTATTCCTGTCACTCGTCCGATGTACGTTCATATATATTCACATACTTTTTAAAGAAATAAGATGCGAATATTACATATGGAGGTAAAGGATTGTGCAATTATATGATATAACAATGTACGAGATAGTTTATTTTTTCTTAAAATAGTTCCAATATGCTGTCGCATTTATTAATAATATTTAGTAATATTTTAACTAAATGTCATTCATTAGGTTATCAATACTCGTTTCAAGCTTTATTTTGTTGTTGATGGGAATGGCATAGCAAACAGGAAGCCTTTAAGATTGATAATACCATTGCCATTCATCGGTAACATTTGTTTAATGCATTTATGCTGTGTCAAAGAAATAATGCTTCAAATACATTATTTTTACAACTGTAAACACATAATAATTTCAATACATAAATATTGCTTGTAATCGTTTTAGAGTAGGAAGAGTGTTATTTATATTACAGTTGGTGTGTTTGTTTTCTGTTGGACACCATACTATGTTCTTGCAGTCTGGTATTGGTTTGATAGGTAAGAAGATCTCACTTAGTTTCCGCAGTTTTTAATAATGTAAGATCAATTCACCTTTAAGTACTCAAAGACATATACAGAACTTACGAGTCTTACATGTATATCATTTTGATAGTCAAAAAAGAAAATGTTGTTTTCAAATACATAGTACAAATATCAAACTTGAATGATTTTCCTTATGAAATATTCATGATTATGTTTTTTGTGGATAAATAGGTTTATGAAATGTGTTTTGAATAACCAACAAAAAGTAATATATAGCTTGACATGAAACAAGGAAAACTCAAATATTAAAAATTAAAGGAAACATACACTGAGAAGATTCCAATATTGATGATGCATATAGAATAAAATGTTTCTAATGTCATAAGATAAATGTTACATATTTACTGTATTTATAATAAAGTCTCTTCCAAGCCTATTTCGTGGTCAATTTTAGAATTCGGGAATTTGTATTTAATTCAGTGTAATTCCAAAAAATGAATGCATTACATTTTATTTTAGAGAGTCTGCTAGGCAGCTTGATCCCAAAATACAGAATTGTCTTTTCATATTCGCTGTGTCTAATTCCTGTGTTAATCCAATTGTGTATGGTAAGTTGGTTTTAACGTTTTTAGTCTTCTCCAAGAAAATCATTCACGTTCTATTTTTAAATGCATTGATCGAATTTTGGTTTTGGTTAAGAAAACAAATGAAAAGCAATAACACCATTTTGTTTTATTTTTCTAACACTTCTAACTTTCGTCAATATGTTTATATTTTATATTATATGTCATTTAAAGTAACCGACTCACTAAACATATTGGCAAAAGATAACAAAAATAAAATAAAAATAAATAAATAAATAAAAATAACTTAAGTCTCTCCTTTTAGTATCAACGACTTCTTATAAATTATACAAAAAACGTTATAATAATAGAGTAATTTTACATTGACATCTTTATGTTGTTTATGTAAATTTTGTTAAGATATAAACTTAAACGGTCTTATAAATTAGTTCCAAATCATTAATGTTTGGAACAAATGTTAATCGAAATTTATTTTTTGTATTTTCATTTCAGGTCTATTTACAATTAATTTCAAAAGAGAATTTATGCGATGCTGTTGCTGTCTAAAATCAAGATGGCGGAACGCTCGGAGAAACCAAGGAACAGATTCTAGATTGCGTGCTGGAAGATCTATGTACTCTAAAACAACACTAAGTTCGATGCGTACACCATCGACGGCAAATCCTTCAGGCTTAAAGATTGAAATGCAGACAATACCTTCAGATGATAGTGTTTGCAAATTCATAGTCAAGACAGATCATGCAAATCATCCAAATAATGGACTGTGTACTCCAATGAGAAATCCCCAGATAAGAGATTGTAGACAAAATTCAAATAACTTTCTCGTAGTGCATATGAAACAAGAAGCTGTTTAGTGACAGTTTTAATAAATAGATGATGGAAAATGTATTGACATACTGGAAAAAAGCAACACAAAATAAGAATGTAATACACACAGAAAAATAAAAGTCAACATTTTCTTTTTGACCTATGACATTTATGAAATTAAATACACGCGTATTTATTAATAGAAGTTCCTACACATTTGTTTTGTTAAAGATTTCGGTGATTCAATATTCCTGTTGCCAGATATGTGCAAGCATTGCCAGTTATGTGCAAGCATAACATTAGGACAAGTGTGTTAAGACTGCCCTTCTGATCTGCATCTTTAAAGGTTGTATTGGTGCGAACAGTAGCTATGCGACGTTCTGACTTTTTTGGTCAAATTTAAACATCGTTCACTGGTAAGATGAACAAATATTCCGAACGTAATATTCAGAGTAGCATTTTGTTACAAATGCAAAAGTTATTGCTTTCAAAGTATATCATTTTCAATGTATAGGATAACTGAGGTTTCGTGTCATTTCGCCCACTGTCTAAAGGACATAATTATTTCTGCTTCTCATTTAAAACAAGCATGTAAAGCAACTATCTAAATCTATAAAACTATACTAGTTAATGTTAGTATTGTGATGTCAGTATTGGAATAAAATATTGTTAAAATAAATACTTTTTGTTTTACCGACATTTTGAGGGGTTGAACCCGTTTGAAATTACACGCACGTGTTGTTCAATGATAAAGCGATTGAAGAGGCAACGAGGTCATTTACGGTATTTCACATCATCAGATCATAAAGTAATGACATTTTATTCAATTATTATTAATATTTAATATCATCCAAATATTTCTTATCACTTGAGTTTACTTCTTTTATCAAGATCTGCCTGCAGATAGGGCGCTCCACATTTCTGTGTGCTGGCGTGTTAAATAAAAGCAACTTAGAATGGGGGGGGGGGGGGGTTTGAATGAGTGGGGGTGAAATGAGTCAATTGTATGAATAACCATACTTTTATGTCGGTAAGAATTTTTTCCCTATCATTTCATTTATATATTAATTTTATTCACATACTCCTACAACGATTTTAAATCTTATTTTCATCCAAGCCGAATATGAAGTCTTTTATACTTGATATACGGTACTTTAACATAGAAACTACCTACACATATTTTACATCAATTACGATCTTAATAATTATAGAGATCAAAAGTGTTATTAATAAGAACCAGGTCGTTGAACTATTAACATTATTACTTTAAAGTATTATGCTAGTGCCAACATTCTGTTTGACCGAAATTCGTAATAAGCAATTTTTTATTTGTAAAATAACAACAGTATGAGAGAATAGTTTCTTTTAACATTAATATAATAGTTAAAGACTCACCATGCAGGCTCTCTACGTTTTTTATATAATGTTTGATGATTTTACCTGTTAATTCAGACAGTAGTATAAAAATGTATTATTTTATATACCTCCTGATTATACTGCCATAAAACAAAATAAATATTGCCAATATTGTTGCAAATAATTATTTATCAAGAAAATTGTAATTATTTATATACTAGTATAAATTTCATTTCTTTATCTTACTAGATGAGTGTATGCTTGAAATATTGCATATCATCTGTTAAGAAATCATTATTCCTTACTACTGGTGTGAATTTGACAGCCATACCATGTGTAAGAAATGAATAACAATAAATGAACTTAATGTTAAAATGACACATAAGATTTTTCTTTATCCTTTTCAGAGGTAGCAAGAATAGGTAAACGTTATGTAAGTCACAGAGAAGTGGATTATGCTATAGTGTGTGTATATCAATAAAAAATAACGCAACCATCTTTTAAAATAGAAGGTTTACATCAATTTGAAATGTACAGTATAGTTATTTTTAGTGTAATAATTATGATATTTGATTATTGATAAGCACACCTGACTACAATCATATTCACGCAGAGTATTTTCCTTTTAAACATATAACTGCATCTCAGTTTGTCGATAACGCAAGTTTTTTTAATTAATTTAAGACCCGTTTTTTAAATAAATTAAGAAAAGTTCTTATTATAAGTAATATTATATATAATGTTGTCACTTAAGCTCTAAATGCCTCAGGTGCATGTCAATTAATATGATTTCATAGTTTTCATATTCATCTTACTTCAAAATCTAATTTTAACTTAAAAATACACAAAATGTTAGGAAATATATATCTCATTGCACAAGAATTCTTTTTACAAACAATGATATATATTGTGTACAATACGCAGGTGAACGAATACAGTTTTCATGGTCAGAGTCACTGTCACCTTGGCATACCCATAAGCCTATGAAACAGGTTTTTTAAAATTTTGGATGTGATCATCCTATGAAGGTCAGTTGGTCATCTAGTTATTGAGTAAACAGTTTTTACAATCACCGTGACATTGACCTTCATGCATATAAGGGCATTTTCTAACAACGGTGATGATCCTATGAAGTTAAATCTTGGTAATAAAGTTTTTTTTTTACTTAATACTTGTAACGCATGCTATATATAAAGTAGTACTTTTTCGTATTAACTTGAATTTAGTTTTGTTAAAATAACTGACTGACGAATAATAAGTTGGGTATGTATAAATAGTATATTATATCAGGTGATTGGTTGTAGCCCAATAACACCTACAATCTTATAATCCACATTGAAATAGTTGAATACTTGTGATATTAAATAAATCGTTAAATCTGAGATGACCATCGTTTAATTTTATGAAAATTGTGCGAAATATAGATCTAGGTATAAAAATATATAATATAAAATAAATGAATTACAAAAAAATGGAACAATTTATGCACCTATCCTGCATGGTAAAAACCAAGATTGGTACACTATAATTTGATTGCAGTTATTTTCCTACATCTTAAAGTCAGACACAATAATTTAATAAACCCATCGCTAATTTGGTTCGAACGACACACACACCTTCTCAAATAATAGACAAAATCTAAAATAAAGCGTTTTACTGCTCAGCGTTTTTATAACTTTAGCCACCATGCGCTCTATCCAACAAAATGCGATAATGAATTTTTTGTATTTAGTACTCGGCTTCAAAACATTTCAAAAAGGAAAGTAATTTTTTTCATGAGAAAGTTTGGCAATAAATGCTCTTTATGTTTGGCATGGATAAGATAACATAGATAGATGAGATAATATTTGATGAGAAAATATATGATGAAATTAGATATGATATGGTACGATAATATATAATGAGCTATGATAAGATGTGGTGAGCTAAGATTAGATATAATTGGCTGAGATATGACAATATAGCATAATATCTAAAAAAAAAAACAAGAATAAAGAGCAACAAGGTAAAAGCAACGTTCACAGGACGTAACCCCCTTCCCCCGACACTCAAGTAGGGCACCCAGAAGGCACCAAATAAAAACCTGGATTGGACATAAGGGCGGCGAAAAAACATAAATTTTCACATAAAGGAACCATCTGTGTTGCTTTTGTCTGTTGGCAATAGTATAATCACAGTATATAAACGATTTGAACCCCAACCGGATCTTGTGAGAAGATCTCAGCATCTAAACGTACAATCAGGCGGGATGACACATTAGACTATTAAAAATCGACTTGAATTTAATATGTTACGGTGTGTTAACATTTGAATCATATTGAGAAATATTTTATCTTTGCTTAAATATACATCCATAACCTTCTTTGTAAAATATAAGCGCATAAAACGCTGTGCTCTTCACCTCATGTTTTGTTTATGTCGACACACGCCGATTACACAAGCAAATGTATGCCTAAAATTGTTTTACTTCACTATAACTCATATCTGAATCTTTAATTTATTGTCTTAACCTCATGTTACCGGACAGACACTTGTGAAAATATCTTTGAATATTGATAAAACATAGTAAATAATAGAGGCGACATTTCTGATTACTGTACCCGTCTTGCTAAAACGATTTTAATGATCTGTACCCTACTTGTGTTTTCACTGAACCATTACTTGCGAGTCACTTTTGATGATTTTTATTGTGTTTTTGTCGTATGTTCCAAATTTTATTGTGCAGAATATGAAGTTATTGTGTCACAAGACAAGGGTACATGTTTAAGTTCTATGTAAGTAGCTAAAACAGCATATGAAACAGAATGGAGGAGCTTCGTCATGTTTTCACTGTCTACGAAAATACCGGCATGAAGTGAAGCGAATCAGAAAGTCAATTATTTATTGATAGGAATAATTAACTAACAAACCTCATCTTCACTTACCATTCATTTTTCTTTTGAAAGATATAAAGCGAAAATATTACATATGTACTATACATTTTTTATATTTAGTTCAACGGCATTGTTGTTAGTTTTGACGTGACCGTTATATAACGTCACGTATCAATAAACCTCGAAATATCATTACAAGATTTTTTTGCAGATTACTTATTTCAGCATGTTGAAAGTTTTACACCTACCGTTGATTTCATTCTGCTTTTTTAAACACTGTTTTATATTGACTTTCTTTTTCTGACATGTACGACTTTTATTCTTGTTTATTCATAGACGTCGACAATTTTGGCATCTTTTTAAACGGAGAATATTCGGGAAATTTTGAAATTTTAATTGTCAGTGTTTCAGCTATTGGTGTTATAAACTTCTTTTTTTTCGTTTACGTTATTAATTGGCTGTGACGCTGAAATTTTTTAAGTAGGAAATTTTATTCTGATCATTATTTATTCTTATTTTCAAATAAGTTGCAGTCTGGTTGCATAATTATGTGGTCAATGATGGCATTGAAATTCGTAGTCTTTACTGAACAGTATATGCAGTTGTATTCTTCCATGGTGATCCGAAAGAAATAATATACATATCATTATATATTCTATTAAACAAATGATTAACAATATTACCAGTTTAACCAATTCTCGGTAAATACCTTAGATCCCACCTTATATACTAAAATTCTATTACAATCATTTATATTTTCTGGTAATAATTGATACAAAATCGCAATGAACGTAAACCTTTTCTCCAATAAATCTTTAAAAATACTCACAAGTCAGGGTACAGATAAAATTCGTAAACTCACAAGTAGGGTTCACAATCACCAGCAAGTAACGTTCAGTTTACGGAAATGACCTCCTTGGTAAAACTCTTAAATTTATGTTCAAGATACAGCAATATGTTATGCATATGACTAAATTACCGTTTGTTATTGATTACTTTAGTAGTTCGATATTTCAATTCAATGTTTAACTAAATTAACATTGGAATAAGACGGATTTTTGTTCGTGTTCAGTGTTGATCACCTGAAAGCTGTTCGTGAGTGTCGATTATTTTATAGCCTTCGTGCAAACGTTTATGTTTTGCATAACTTAGACGTTTAATAAAGTTTCTCTCTTATAATATAAATATAGATTTACTAACCTAACGTCCATCAGTATCAATATAAATACCAATATCGTGAACAAGTGAAGTGGAAGAATATGGCTGACACTAAAACTTCTCACAAGATCCGGTTGGGGTTCAAATCGTTTATATACTGTGATAATTATAGTGAATTAGTATTTCTTATGGAAGACAAGATACTATTTTGTTTACATTTGGCTATCTTTATGACAAATAACTTCACGTTCAGCGCTACCGTT